TCTGTAAAGTTATTCTTGTTCAAAGTTATAAAAAATCTTTATTATAAAAAATTTGCTTGATTTCTATTGACTCAACCTTATATGTCTACACCGATTTTACTATTGATAACTAGCGATATTATTTTTGATCCAGACTGGGTATATATTATTTTTGCCTTAGACTCCAGTTTTACTTTCTCATGCCTGAATTGTTTTTGTGTTGATCGGTCAATTGTCCAAGTTACTTGCTATGAGTATACTTAAGCTATGCAAAAAATTGTTGTTTCACAACTAGGGCCTCTGGCTTTTGTATGTTATATGTTCGAAAGGGCATAATCATCATTTTGATGGCTCAGTACTTTGGTTTGGGTGGTTTGTTCAGTCTGCAAAAAATATGTAACCTAGTATGGGTTTATATAATCATTCGTATTGATAATTGCATCAGATAACTAATTTTATTTTTTCGATAATATTGATTATATTAGCACCGAACCCAACATGCAACTCGGGGTTGTATACATGTGACAAAATTTATTATATTGAAAGTGAATGGAGAAGTGTCCCTCTTTGTCTGTCAGATCGTATATCATCGGGGTATCAAAATTTGCAAAGAAATTTCAACCAAAGATCTTTTAATCGATATGCTAATTCGAGAAGCAAGATTGGCTAATAATATTGAGTTATCTGATATCCCACCTAATTTCCTCCTGTTAGTAAATAAAAAAATAATTAAAATAGAAGAGCATGTTGATGCCAATTCCCATCCTGATAATGCAAAAAATAAACATTTATGGGTTGCTCTTGGTCGCTGGTTGGGAATAGAGGAACCAGTTATAAGAAGAGATATGCATCATCACCTTCAGTCTAAATGGATAGATCTTAAATATACTGTTAATATTCAAAATAATGAATCACGGAACATTTTAAGAATAATCTCATATATTTCTCGAAAAGAGAAAGCCCGTTTAATAATATCTGCCTAGAGTAATCTCCGTTTGTTAAAAAAAATAGCAAAGCTTTGCCATTTAACTGTTTCAGAGTGTATTACGGATGTAGAAGGTAGAACCTTAGTACACTTGGTATTACTAAATAATCCAAGAGCAGTTATGCAAGCAACGGATGCCGTAAACCATTATTATTTCTATACCCTAAATAACTCTTCCCACCGTAGTGACGAATTCTGGAAAAATTTTATAGAATATTTTGGTGCATATACACAAAATAACCTCCTCCTATTTACTAGTTCAAATACCACAAGCTTCTATAATATCACACATCAAGAATGTATTAACCTTGGCCCATTATCAACCTCTGTTAATGAATTTGTACAAGAATTCTATGGAAATTTATATAAAAAACTAGAGAAGTTGGTGTGGGGACCTTTTGCATCTCAACTTTTTGGAATCTTCCCAATAATCACTATTAATTACAATATAACTAGCGATTACTATTGGGACGAACATGATGAACCAAATAGTTTGGTTGCCCTTGGAAAATTTGAGGAAGGAGAATTATGTTTCCTCTAACTCCAGATTGTTGTACCGTTTAGGCCTAGACAAGTTGTAGCATTTTCCTTGTGTCTTTTACTCTATGGTAATTTTCCACTTACAAAAAGTATTCATCATAGTATTGTATACTTTGTACATGATATCTTTTTTCATAATATACGAAAATTCGATGACATATATAATGATTTGAAGGATAGGATTGAGAGAAATGCTAATGGGGATAATGTTATTTTCATTAAACGTCAAAATCTTAACAATGCTCAAGGACTAAATTTCCGAACTATGTTTTTTAAACCAAAAAAAAGACAAATAACAATTCCTTCTTCATCAATGGATTGTAGAAGAGGTCATATTTCTTTGGTACATGCTAGACATAGGTTAAGAACAGAAGATCCACTTCCAGATTTATAGAAATATAATATATTTTTATTGTATTATAAATATTTAATGTACATTAAAAAAAAAAAATAAATAAATTTTTATCTTCAAACATGTGGTTTAGTTTGGAAATTTTATTTCATGTTTTTTCTCAAAGCTCGAAAAAAGATACATAGTTAATAATATCTTTAAAAATCTGTTAACTAAATGTATCTAGCTTCGAGCAAGTATTGTGAGAAGACAAGAAATATATTACTCAATTGTGATCTCAAGAATAGCATTAGGAAAATGGTGGACAACTATCAAAAAAATCAAATACTTAATCTAATAATAATTATATGTGAATAGGTTGTATTAACATTAATATTTAATTAAGTCTATCTCCTTCCTTGCATTTTTTCACACAGAAGCCTAGTATTCATCAACATCAATAAAGCTAGATGTGTTTGTATTATGCTGAATTAATGCAAAGAACTTTGGTGGTAATGGTGGAGAAGTCAATGAACGTGGCTCATTAATCAAACTGGGTGTAATGCTCTTGATTTTCATAGACTTTGGTTGGCACAATATCTTGATAAGCATTTTGGATAACCTGTGTACTTCTATCTTGGGTTTCGGTTTTGAAGCATTCATTATTCCAATGATTTTGCATCAAGTCCTTGGATTTAATCTCATATCCGTATTGGCATCATCCTTCCCAATATACCTTTTTTGGCTTTACTTCAGTAATTTTTACTAATCTCCAGCATTTGAAGCATATAGCTATCTGACTTTTATGAACTTTAGATCTTCGATAGCTGATATGCTTTATTTTCGGTCTGTGATTTTTGAGATATGTCCTAATACTTCCTTGTCCAAATAAACCAAAAAGGCAGTATACATGAAAGATACTAGGTCTTTCTCTAGAATGTAATTCTTGCAAATCATCTTTTATACGAATAGCCTACTGTTGAGGTGTTTCGTGTGGTCTAATAATAGTTAAATCGTTATATTTTTTTTTTTAGTTTGCACATATTTTCAACATGATTATAGTTATAATTATTACCTTTTGCTAAATCCTTTATTACATGACCCAAATTATATCCTGGACGGAGGTTAACAGGTTTGGGTACAGATTTATTATAAACCTCATCAATAATGATTGTAATTGGATTGGTCATATTTATTAACAAATCAGTATTTTATTGATTTATAGCGTTTTTTAGCAATTTATAGTGTTTTTAGCGATTTTTTATCAACCTATATTAAGGAATATCGCGATTCAAATTTGTAGCCAAAAATGAAAAAAATGTAAATATATACTTCATAGATTTTTATTTCATATCGACACTTTTTTACCTAATATATTACTCAATTGTGATCTTAAGAATAGCATTAGGAAAACGGTAGAGCCATCATTGAATTATGAATTAGCTAGAGTATTTTTTTTCCTTCTGCTTTTGCCTCATCTCTATTTCCTTCTACAAGTTCAATAGAGTATCAAATCTTAGCCGAATTGCCAATAGATCATCTTTAGGTCTATCTAAATCAAATACAATAAAGTCTTTCTTACGTAAATAATTATTAATAACTATTGATGCATTTTTAATATCATCTGTATATCGTTCAACAATCTTTGCAACATCTTGATAACTACCGCCCCACCAAATAATACTAAGTGAGTAAGATTTTCACGAATAAATGTAGAAACTTTGTAATATTTCTGTGTTATATATATATATGAAATATTTCGATGACGTCTATTTTCAAAAAATTGACCAATTCTATTTTGTATATTTTCAGGAGCTAAGCATAAATCCTCAAAAATAACTAGCGTACTTCTTTCTGGTGAGAATGATTCTACTTTAGATAATTTTTCAGGAGAAATATATTTAAACCGTATATTTTCATAAAAAGACTCATGGGGGTTTCCTGAAATTACTCTATACAAATATCTAATATATGCTCACTTTGGCTTATTAGAATGATAACTACAAACTATCAAATCATCACACCGTATATATCTGGATTCTCCTTTTTTACCCTTGTGTATATGTTCACCTTTATCTCCAGAAACAAGGTTTACAGCTAAATTTGACTTACCTGTACTACTACTTCCTGTTATTAACATTCTGAATACCTATTCTGGTGAATATTCATGGCCCTTACAATGTGATGATGCTTGCTTCGTGACCTCATACATATCCATAAAGTAAAGTTTCATAGGGGTAGTTCTGCTTTTTGATTCTTCTGCATGACGGGTTGAGAATCCATAACTTTGATTTTTATAAACTGGATAAAAAATTTCTTCTTTTTTGATTGAGCAAAAAATTCGCCTATATATATACCATATAATTAATATTACTACTAAAACTAAAATAATAAGCTTGAATATAGGTAAAATTTTATATTGATCATTAAGTAAAGCATTGCCAACTCCTAACGTAGCAATAGGTAAGACTGGAATACTATCGAGTTTTTCTTTCTGCTTATTGCAAGCATGGTCTATCAGGGCTCTACCACATCTTTTACTTTGCTTTTATCGGGTTCAAGCTCTGAGTGATGTAAAGAAAAAGAGGGGCGCCTCCAATCACTTTATTAGTCTCACTGGATACTTTCGAAACCTGCTCTGCTAAATGGATATTAGTTATTTAAGAAAGAACTCAGCCAAGTCTGGATCCTCTTTAGCTCCACCTATTATGTTCGATTTGTGAGATGACTGGGATATTTGTTGTTCTAACTGATCTTCTAATTCCCTCACCCTAGATCTGAGATAGCTAATTAACCCATAACTATATAATATTTTTCTTGCTACTTTCTTTAGTTCGTTTACTTTAGTTCCAAGAGAGGTGATTTCAGAATCCTTATACCCCACCTCGGCTTCCAATTCATGTTTTTTTGAATTTAAATCATCTCTTTCTCGCTCTAATGTATGATTAAAGGAATTTAATTCACTTATTTTATCCCTAAAAGAAGTAGTATCTGAATCATGAGATGTACGTTCTAGTTCCATCTCGGATTTCAATTCATCTACTTCGGCTTTCAGTTCATCTATTTTACCTTTAAGATAATGAATCTCGCCCTTGTCAAGGGATGAGGCTTTTTGGGTGAGGGTCGCTTTTCTCTTTAGTGTTTTAATCTCAGATTTGAGCAATTGGATTTCAGCAGAATAATTGGCTTGCTCTGCTTCACGCTCAGTATGGGATGACTATTCAGAAGATCTAAGCCTAGTATTGGACGTATTCAGCTAGCTAATCTTTTTTCTAGCATCAGCTTGAACCAGCTCAAGATTCTTTTTTTGCTTTAAATATATATCCTGCAGGTCTTTATATTCATTAGCAATATCAGAAGCAGTTTTGATACTACCGCGCAATGCTTTCTCAAGCTCTGATTCACAGATGCTAGCAAGCTGATGACCTGGCCCCTCCAGGACCCTTCTATTCTTGATATCTCTTAAGGTATGCACATTGGACATAGTTTTTTTTCAGCTTAGTCATTAGTATATAAAAAAAATTATAAGCGAAATTCTTTATTGAAACAGCAAAAAATAAATTAAATAGCAGATAACTAATATTAATAATATCTATAAATTACAAACTACCGATTATCACATATATATATGACTAAATATTTAAGATCTGATGCACCTCTGTTTTCTTCTAAGGATTATTCTTATATTATGCAGTGTCATAATATAAAACCGAGGAATAAAATTTTAAATGAGTTGATGAGTAAGTATAAAACATCATCAAAGCGTATTTATCAAATATGGAGAAGACAGGAATATCCTATTGACCCTACACAAAATACATTTTCTTCAAATCAGATACAAATAACTAAAAATTTAACAGTAAGAAAAAAGAATCTTATAACTGAAACCCTTATTGATTTAAGTACTGATTTGCCAATAGATAACACAGTGCTCAATAAAGATGAGAAATCGTCTGATACAATACCTCTATATTCTCAGATTAAATCTCACAATATCCAGCTTTCTATTGAATCGCAAGATATGGTAAGTTTTTACTGCATTGCTTGTGGTCATACTAATCAAATTTTAACTGAAGATATTAATCAAATACTAATCAAAAAGAATAGTGAACTGAATAAGAATTAGATATTAACCGATATATCTAAATTGAATTTTCACCGAAATAGAATTAGATGTTAACCGAATAGTTCAGAAACACCGAAATAGGATTAGATATTAACCGAATAGTTTAG